CATGGTGGGTGGGGACAAGGTGCCCTGTGCACTCAGCACACCCTGAGAAGTGGCCCAGGACACCATCGCCAGTCCAATCACCACTTCCCCAGAGTGCCTGCCCCCTCTCTGGCAGTGGGTGTGGGCCCAAGCTTGCTGGCATTCTAGGTCAGGATAGCACCATGGCCGGCAGAAGCCTCAGTTTGCAGGTGTCCCTCACCCCCTCCTCAGCATCGGAGCCACAGCTCAGGGCTGGCAACAGAAAAGGCAGAGATTCTTCCTCACAGGAACAAGAGTCCTGGATTTCCAGGGGTGGCAGGAACTGAGCTCCTGTGCTTCTAATCAAGAGCTTGGGCTAGCATGTAGGGCCAGGAATCCCAAGGGTAATTTTGTCCTCTCAAAAGGCACTGAAAGCCTGCTGAGTAGGACCAGCAGGTACCAGGAAACAGCCCAGGCCTTGAGCTCTTCTTTGCAACAAGGATGGAGTAGGTCCAGGAGGCCAGAGAAAAAGGCAGCTCTGAATCCAGGGGGTGTCGAGGGGCCGTGTCCAAGCCCACAGCCCAGGGAGGCTGCAAGCAGCTGGAGCAATAGAAGTCTGTCCCGTGCTGTCCCCATCCCAGCTCGAGGCACTCACCAGCAGCCAGTCCCTAACCCTGACACTGCCCGTGACCTCAGACCCCACTAAACGCACTGTCTCAGTTCCCTCATCCAGGAAATCCAGGTGGCACTGTCCCCACCTCTCTGGCTAGCTGTGACCATGACATCATAGGTTAACGAACAAGCCTAAGAGTGGTGCTAGCACGTGGTTGCCCCTCAGTGACAGTCACCCTGGCTGGGTGGAGCTCAGTGGCTTCTTCCTGGGGCTCCCAGGGAAGGGACGAGTCTGCATGCCACCAGAGCGGACCAAGAGGCTTGGTTTTGGCCAGGGTGCCTCCTTCTTCTCACTGGACAACTGCAGATTGAGAAGTGACGTGTGGCAGGCACGCATTTCGGGGCTGGGGATCCGACAGTGACGCTAGACAGGAGCTGCCCTCCTGGGAGGGAAGATGTGAGGGTCAGCACAGATGTTGTTGCCGTGTGATGGCGAGTGCTGTGAAGAACAAGGGCAAGGGACGTGACGGGTGCTGAAGGAGAGGGAGTGACCCGGAGCCTGTGCATCCTGATGCCGCACGCTGCTCTGACCATGGACTGTACCTCACTCCTGGTCCTTGCTTCTCCAGATAGGCCTTGCTGAGCCAAGGGTCGGATTCTGGAGTTTGTCTGTTTGTGTGTTTCGGGTCCACACTGGGTCTGCATTACTTTGGTGCCATTTGTCCACGGCCTTCCACGGAGGAGCTGCTGTGGCCTGCTGCTTCCTCCCTGTGCCCTCCTCAGACAGCTGCACTGCAGCATGAATGGAGGGAAGGTTTCTTGCTTCATAGTCACTCTGGAACCAAGTAGACCATTCGGGATCCTGAGGAAGCCTAGCTTTCAACAGAGAAATAGGATCAGGTGGCAGCTCCTAGAACCTAAGGTCCCTGGCCCCAGGTGAGGAGCTGTCCTTGAGAGCAGCCTGTGTGCCCAGTTCACTGGCTCAGCATTGAGGGTGGCTCGGAACACTGGGCCTGCCCCAGCTCTCTGACCTATCAGGTGTGGGCAAGGCCTGGAAATGTGTCCTGCTGCACTCCCAGCTGACACCAGGGCAGGGGGGCGAGGGACACACCAAAAGAGCTGCTGGCCCTGACAGTTGGAGGGAATCAAGTTATACCTTTCCTGACCTCCAAATCTCCTGAGCTCCCAGTCAGGATGTAAAATCTCCAGGCTTTGTCTAAAGATGATCTTTCTTTCAGAAAAGTGTATATGACTCAAAGTGATCAGGCTTTGGATCCTAAGGGAGGCCCAAGACCCTTGTTTTCTCTGAGTTTTTCAAAGCTCCCCAGCCTAGTCAGGCATGGGGATGCAAGCTTGTAATCCCAGCATTCAGAAGGTTGAGGCAGGATAATCACCTCCAGTTTGAGGTTAGTCTGGGCTACAAAGTGAACTCAAGGCCAGCCCTGAACTACATAACAAGACCTGGTCTCAAAAACAAAACAAAATGAAGCTCACCAGCCTTGCAGACTGTGTGAGGCCCCTTGCCCCTCCCAGCCCCTGCAGAGGCAGAAGCGCCAAGCTAGCCCCGGTGGGATGCCCGACCCACTTCCGTCCACTGCCAGTGGCCCAGGTGACACAATTCACTGACTTCATGCACTTCAGCAAAACCAGCAGCCTAAAGATGTGAGAGTGCTAGGAAAGAGGAATCCTAGGAAGAAAAGTCTCCCCCAGCTTTTAGGAATTTCCCCCCTCAAAAAAAAAAAAAAAACAGTCGAAGACATTGTTTAAATTTTTCCATCTTTATCCAGGTTTTTATTATCTCTTAATTGTGCCATATGTGATCATTTCATAATCAGATCAAATCATGCATAATGTTTGTTCCTAAACCTACGAAGTCACTTCACAGAATTTCTTCCTCTGTTGCATCAGTGTTTTTAGAGAGTTTGCACTTCTAGTCTTCTCACGAGCATGCCCCTTTTGTGATGCCTGCAGCACTCTCATGGGGACTTTGCTTCTCCTGACCCAGTGGGCAGGCAGGGCTAGGCATGGGGCTCCTAGCTCCTCACACGGGGTGGCAGGAAGGTCACACTGGGATGGGCTGTAAGCTGGGCCTTAATCAGTTCTGAGACATTTTTTCACATTTAATATATCAGAAATCAAAGCACCATAACACTAGGTAGTGTGTCCTGGTTTGATTGGCAGCGTTGTCAGGATACTTGCTTAGTGGGCATGAGGCCCTGGGTTTGACTCCCAGTACCACCAAAAGAAAAAAGAAAAAAAAGACAACCCACAAGTGATAACATCTTAAATTTAGTGACATAGCAGTAGGAAAAACCTGCATTAAAATACATGTCTTTTGGTCAGGCATGATGATGTACACATATAACAACTGTTCCGTGGGACACTGAGACAGGGGATCACAAGTTCAAAGCCAGCCTGGGCAAATGAACTGAATAGACACTTCTGAGAAATACAAATGGCCAATAAATGTATGAAAAAATGTTCACCTTCTGTAGTCATCAGGGGAATACAAATCAAAACTACACTAAGATTCCCTCCACTGCAGTCAGGATGGCTGTTACCAAGAAAACAAATGGCAGCTGCTAGTGCAGATACAGAGAAAAAAACTGTCACACCCGGTGGGAGTGTAAATTAGTGTACCACTGTGGAAAACATTATGGAAATTCCTCAGAAAACTGAAAATAGGACTAGCTCCACCTGTCCTGGGTGTGTCCCAGAAAGAGTCAACGTCAGCATACAAAAGATACCTGGACATCCACATTCATCAGGGCACTGTTCACAACAGCCACGTTACGGACTCAGCCTAGGTGCCTGTTGACATGAATGGGTAAAGATTGTGGGGTGTATGTACACAGTAGAGTAGTGTTCAGCCATAAAGAAGAGCAATGCATCATTCGCAGGAAGGTGAATGGAACTACAGGTTATCGCACTAAGTAACATAAGCCAGTCTCAGCAAGACAAGCATGGTGTGTTTTCTCATGTGGCATCAGGGCAGGGATGGCAGGAAGAAGGGAACCTGTTGGGAAAGGAGAACTAGATGGGGGAAAGAGAGTACGAGTGTTAGGGAAAGTGGATTCCAGTGAAGCACAGTCTATGGAAATGTCACAGTGAAACCATTAATCTGTGCAATTAATACATGCTAATTATAATTTTTAAAATAAGGAGAAAAGAGCCTTCTGCCCTAAGACTCAGCCAGAAGCACCCTGGAACTGGTACAGATAGCCCCCCACCTCTGCTCCCTCTCTCTGCCCTTCTAGAATTTTGTTTGCAAATAATTCAGACCTGAAAAGGAGTATGGAACCAAGCACCTCAGCTACCGACAGGTCTCCCTCCTGCCTCCGTGCCACCCATGACGTCCAGGCTTGCGTATGGCCCACAAGGCCTGAAGTGTTGACCCGCAAAGCGCGCTGCCCCCCATGTAAACTGGGGTAGTCTCTCATGTACATAGGAGGCCTAGACTGAGCTTGCAGCAGTGCCACCTTGGAGAGGCTTTTAAAATGTATATTCTTGGGATTTATTGAATCATATCTTTGGAACCAGAGCTGTTACGTCATTGCTGTCCATAAAGCTCCTTAAAAGAATTCCTTGGCGTGGTGTTGTGGTCAGGAGGGCACATCCAGCCCTAAGGGTGGTGCCATGTGGCCCTGTGTAGCTGTCCCAGCCCTGGTAGGCATGGGACGAGGTCGGGGGTACAGGTTCTGGGCTGGGGGATGGCACATAATGCTGAGAGCTGGAGCCCGCCGCTCCTTAGGCTCACCTCCCTCTGCTTCTTACAGCCATGTCGAAATCTGCAGTGAAGATCTCCCTGGACCTACTCTCCAATCCCCTCTGTGAGCAGGACCAGGACTTTCTGAACATGGTGACAGCCCTGGACATGGCTATGAAGCGGATGGACGCCTTCAACCAGGAAAAGGTGACTGGGTCTCGGCCTCCGGCCACCAGGCACCCTCTCCTTCCCTCGGCCTGTGGTGTGGCGCCTTGTGCTGGTCCTCACGGCCCGCGCCCATCTTCCCAGCCTGGGCTTCATGCTCTTCCTCAGCCTCCTATGAAGCCATGAGTGTGTGTGAGGCTGCCCTGCCCATCCTGCCCTCCAGGGTTCGGGGGACAAGCAGGACCCGGCGCCGGGCCTCCCATGGCAGGGGTAGGTGCACACTGTGCCTGTCCTGCCCCGCTCTTGGTCCCTGACATGTCTGTCCTCTGAGGAGGTCAGAGCCTCCCCTTGTAGAAAGAACCTCGCTCCCCCCAGTTGGTTGTTTTTGTGTTTTTTTTGTACCGGGGATCGAACTTGGGACCTTGTGCTTTCCAGGCAGCCGGCAGAACCACTGAGCTAAGCCCCCGGCCCTGAGCCCCAGTTTTGATGTCACTGGCTTTTTCTTCTGACAGGTGAACCAGATCCAGAAGACGGTGATTGAACCCTTGAAAAGGTAAGATCACCTGAGAACACGGGCCTCGGGGCCCTGATGGGAAAGGCAGATCAGCCTGGGGGAGCAAGGGGCCCATCTAGCAGCCTGTCCCCTGCTTCTCATGGGGCCTCCAGCCATGCACAGTGTGGCTCAGGGTCAAGGCTCCTGGCGGCCCCAGAGCACTGCCACTGCCTAGCCACGTCCTGAGTGCCAGACGCCACGCCGGTGGTCAGGGGTCACTTGGCCCTTTCCTCCATTCTTCATTGCTCATGGTTGGGCCCCTCGGGGCCAGGCTGGCTGAGTTCATCCAGCAGATCCCTGGCTAGCCCTCAGCGGACACGAGCAAGACCTTGCATCTCAGCCGGCCTGGGAGCACAGCTGCCTGCAGTGCTCAGCTTTGGAAATATGGGGGCGGGAAGGGCACAGCAGCAGGGTCCTGCCTGGGAGGGTCCCCTCGCTCGTGACCCGTGAGGGCCAGGAGTTCTGTAAGACTCATTTTCCGACCACCAGGGCCTGGTTAGCGATCAGACAGGTCTCTTCCCTAGGTCCCCCGGGTGAGGAGGCTCAGCCTTGAAGCTCCGAATCCTTCCTCTCCAGCCTCTCCCCCGGGCGCTGACCTGGAGAGACTCCCGCTGCAGCCCAGCAGCTGCACTTTATTACCTCTTCTGCGGTGGTCCCTGGCAGTTGCCTTGCCAGGCCCTGGGTAATGAGGCTCTGCTTAATTATCATTAGGCCTGGATCAGGGCCTGGAGGGAGATGAAGAGAGCAGTTTTTTGATCCTCCAGCCCCTGGTGTTGGGGGATGTTGAGCTGTTCCTTCCCTGTTTGGTTCCAAGAGGTGCGGTGGGGGAGGAAAAAGCCCTCCTGACCTCCAGAGCGCTTCTTTCCAAGCCAGCTGGCAGTGTGAAGCTGAGAGGCTGAGCCTGGCACAGGCAGGGATTTCTCCTGGCTTCTCCTGTCCTGCTGCCCCAGCCTCCTCCCCAGAGTGGGCTCCCCAAGCCCCAGGCACAGCCCAGCCCCTGTTGCAGGGTCACATGGGGAGCTTGGTGCAGAATGAGCTTCTTGCTGGTGGCTGTCAGGCCTAGCCTCCAGGTTCAGAGCTGGGTGGAAAGAGCACAGGTGGAACAGGCCCTGCCCGCAGAGCACCTTGTATGCCAGGGCCTCAGGAGACACCAAGGCAGCCACGGGCACCCAAGGCTGACAGAGCAAGGCAGGGACACCAGCTCAGAGAACTGAGGAGTTGGCTGCTGTCTTGATTTCACAACCAGCGAGGCGGCCTTGAAATCAGATCCCTGGCTTCTGCAGCCACATGGAGAGAAACCCCGGCTGCTTCCCACAGCTCGCAGCCCACCACCTGCCAGGAAGGTGGGGGCGTGGCAGAGGGGGCAGCTGCCATCTCCGCAGCGGATCTGCTGACCCCTGCATGAGCCCTTGACCACCCTGGCTGGCTCTTGCTGCATCCCGCAGCCGACATGCGATCTGCCCAGACCACATAAACCGCCACTGCCTGTTGCCTCGTGCCAGAAGAAACGTTCCCAGGGACCTCAGCACCGGAAACAGGAAACTGCAGCTTTCCTGTCCTCTGATGAAGATCATGGCCACATGGTCACCCTGCCACCCCCAGCCTTCCCCCCCAGGGGGCTCGGCCTCTAATCCCCCAGCCCCTGGGTCTGTTCACATGTTGGACGGGGATGCTTTCAATTTCCCTTTCCTGGTGGGTGGAAGATCCCGGCTGCGTGGGCTCAGATGAGGAATGGCAGGCATTCCCCACCAGGCCGGCTGCTCCCAGCCCACCTCCCAGCCGGCCTCATTCCCTCCCTGCTCCCCTTCACCCCACGCTTCGCCTCCCCAGGGAAGCCAGCTTGGTGCTGAAACTGAGTGGAGCAAGAAGCAGGCAGCCTCTGGTGAGGGCCTGGGGTGGGGCCTGGCTGCCCTCTCTCCTTTGGGAATCAAGTGAATCAGACCCCAGGAGCTTCTAGTCTGGAGGAGCTATGATGGACCCCTAGGACAGCAGGGGTGCAGTGCTGGGAATGGGGAGGATGGCGCAGCTGCCCCACCGGCCTCAGTCTGCTTCCTCAGGGCTGAGCTGGCTCCTTGGGGTGTGGAGTGGGGACTCGGAGCGGAGCAGCAGCTCTGGGTAGGCCAAGGAGGCACCAGGAGGTATGATTTGAGTGAGCGGAGACCTGGCCCAGGGACTTCCGCCTCCCATCTCTCACCACAGCTTATCAAGGGGCAACAGGGACGAAGCACAGACGTCTGGCTTCCGTGGGGCAGATCAGTGAAAGTGCAAGCGTCATGGCTGGGGGACAGCTGGGTCCCTCCACCCTGCTCCCCAGGGAGCCAGCAGATACCTCTATGAGGTCCCAGGGCCACAGGAGCAGCCTCTCCCTGTCTGCGCCTGCCCCTGCAGCTGGAGGAAGCTGCCACCTCTCGTGGGGGTGGGGTCCTGCTGTGAGACCCTCATCCTTAGACGTCACCGTCCACACTGCCCACCACATGGGCTGGCAAGATCTGTCCCTGACTGCGAAGAGGAAAATGGGAAGGTAGGGGTTCTGTGGGGCAGAGGTCGGGAGCAGCCCTCGCATCCTGGTCCCCTCTTTCCTCTGCCAATTTAGAGCAGGCTGCACCCATCCCCTGACTCACAGTGGCTGCCCCTTGGGTATAGACAGGTGTGACACCTGACCCTCTCTGCCATGGAGAAGCCCAGCCCCAGGCCCACAGCCCCCAACACACACACCATGGTCATTTGTCAGAAAGTCACCTGCAGTGGCCTGAGTGAGCCTCGGCTTGACTGACACTGCTGTGGGAGGCAGGAGTCTCCCACACAAGGGTCGGGCCACTACAGCCATTTCCCCTGCAGAGTATGGGCAGCCTTGGTTCCAGAGGCTGTGGAGGAGGAACCTCTGATATTAGGCAGTCCTATAGGCACAGCTAGATGCCACCTGTCTCCTGAAGCTCTTCCCCCCTCACTGGCCTAGATCCGCACTTTCCCTGGACTCGAGTTGCCATGTCCTTCAAAGGCTGACTGGGTCCTTCGACATAGTTCCCCTGCTGGAGCTGAGTGCAGGTGGAAATGGCGCTGCGAAAAGGGACCGGGACAGCCACAGTACCCATGCCACTGTGGTCAGCTGGGCTCCAGCACTGCCGGGTCTTGTCCCAGGAGGTGACCCTAAGTGGTGGCACTGTAGCCAGTGCAAGAAAATGCCACCCTGCATCCCCCATCTCACTCTTGCCCTGTCCCTCTTCCTGCAGCCACCCAGGCCTCAGGCACTGGGGTCACCCAAGAAGCAGGTTGCTTTTGACAGGATCAAACAGCTGCTGGACACCTCTTGTCCCTCTAGGGAGGAGGAAAGGGCAACATGGTGGCTTCTCAGGCCCAAGTGTACCAGCTGCCTTGAGCCAGACGCTGCCCAGGAAGGGAGAGCAGGTCCCCTGGCAGCTGAAACTTCAATTGCAGCTGCTGGGCTTCACCGCTGCAGACCCACTGGACAGCATGTGTGCTACTGCTGCTGCCTGGACCTCCCCAGTTCACATGGCGCTGAGTGGACCTACTTCTACCTGGCAAATCAGTCCAGTATCAGTGTGATCGCTGTGCAGACAGCAGGGTCAGAGAAGCTCTGGCGGTCTGTTCCTCCCTTAGTGTTCTCAGTTAGGTGAGGAGCCCATGTGGATACCGCTAGTGGCCTTTGAGGGTAAGTCCTAGGCCACCATAACCTCCCTTAGTCTAACTTAGTTTGAGGCATTTAATGCTTGGCCAAGTTTATTTTTTATTCTCTGGCAAACATATTCATCACTCGTCTTACCTCATGTGATCTTTTGATTTGTTGAGGCTTTTTTTGCTTTTTTTTTTTTTTTTGGTACCAAGGATCAAACTCGGGTCCCTGCGCTTGCACAGCAGGCGGCAAAACCACTGAGCTAAATTCCTGGCCCTAAACTTTTTTTTTTTTGGTACTGGGGATCAAACTCCAGCCCTTGCGCTAGCGCAGCAGGTGGCGAGACCACTGAGCTAAATCCCCGGCCTTTTGCTTTGTTTTTGAGACAAGGTCTCCTTGAACTCAGTGTGTAACCTAGGCTGGCCTCAAACTCAGTGGTCCTCCTGCCTTAGCCTCCCAAGTGCTGGGATCATGGGTGTTACCATCACACCTGGCTTGTTGAACCCTTTACATACCAAATTCACAAGCATGTTCCTTGCAAGGCAGCTTTGGGAAATTGTGCTTCTTAGAGTATTTGATCTACTGGAAGGTGACCCCCACACCCCCAGATGCCCTCTGTGCTCCAGAGGCATGTGAAAGCTCACCTTGGCCACAGACTGAGGGCCCTGGACTTGCCCCTGCTCTAGTCTTCATCTTGTCTGGGTTCCTCCAGGAGGAGCCAGCTCCTGTGGTCATGGGTCACCAGCTATGCCTCTCCACCCTGAGTGGCCAGAGTCATCAGGTTCCTGTGCCACATGCCAAGTATCCACAGACTCAGGGCTCCCAGCTGCACAGTAGACCTGGCATGGAGGGCTGGGCCCTCCTGCAGCAGTGGACTATCTGCTGCACCTTAGGCCTGCACATTGCAGGAAGCTCCTCCATGCCATGCTTCTAAAAAGCCTGCCACAGCCTTGCATGGTCTTGTCCCACCCTGTACCATTGGGGAGCGCAGCCCTGCCTTGAGCCTGTCCCCAGTTCCGTAGCCCCTCGTTGTAAAGGTGGCACTCATCAGGGTGGCTGTGCCCGAGGACCCCATGCTGATGCTCTTTCTGAATGGCCCACCCCTCTGACCAGTTCCCGTCTCAGTCCTATTTAGTCGTAGGGGTAGGAGAAGGCCCCATGTCATCTTCCTGAAACTTCTGCTTTGTCCATTTGCCCTTTAGTGGGGATAGAACTATGGCATTTCTGCTTTTCCCCCAGTGCAAAGGAACCCTTGAAGGGAGAGGTGCCCTGGACAGAAGTAGCTGCTAGTTTCAAATCTTACCTGCCACTGGCACTGAGGTAGCAGCAAGGGTGCCAGAGAACTTGGACACTGAGTTCTCTTCTGGGCCACCTCTGCCTGACTGTGACCTTTGGCAAGTCGCATGTCATCTCCCTGTCCTGAGTCTCTCCTGGAGTGTGGTGTGGCCCCAGTGGGTGGCAGCAGCAGGACAAGGGACATCATTCGTGTTCTCCCTTGGGTGGGATCAGGCCCAGTGGAGTGGTACCCAGCCCCATTTGCTTTCCCTTGACCTTTCCATTCAATATCGTTCCTTCACCGCTAGCGCCACCATGCCAGGGGCTCATCTCCCTGGCCCTGGTGAGCCCAAGGCCTGGACCAGGGTCTGGCGCTTAGTAGGTTTGCTACAGATACTATTGAAGGAGTAACCGACTGTGCGCTGCAGGTTTGGCAGTGTCTTCCCGAGCCTCAATATGGCGGTGAAGCGGCGAGAGCAGGCCTTGCAGGACTATCGGCGACTGCAGGCCAAGGTGGAGAAGTACGAGGAAAAGGAGAAGACTGGGCCTGTGCTGGCCAAGCTCCACCAGGTGCTGCGGGCAGGGAGCCAGCAGGTGGTCAGCAGAAGGAGGGGTGGGGTGGACAGAAGGGCCATTGCAGCAAGTCCCACCCTTCACTGGGGACCAGCAGGGTCCAAGAGACCGGTTGTCCCCACTCCTACTCATGCACCCATGTCCTAACTCCAGGGTCCCATCCTTAGGCCCGAGAAGAGCTGCGACCTGTGCAGGAAGACTTCGAGGCCAAGAACAAGCAGCTCCTGGATGAGATGCCACGGTTCTACGGCAGCCGCCTTGACTACTTCCAGCCCAGCTTTGAGTCCCTGATCCGGGCGCAGGTGAGGTCGCCAGTCTGTCCCTGGCCCAGGCACTGTGGGAAATCAGTCAGTGCCAAGATCCTGGCTCTGGAACCACAGGGCTGGAATTTCTCTCTGGCTTCCTCTGTTGCTCTTGGGTTAATCCCAGCCCTAGCATGGTTGAAGCTCCTTTTTATAACCGTTCTTCCCTAGAGTTCTTCCTCTCAAATTTACTGTAAGCAGCAAGAAGAAAGCAAGTGACACCTTCAGCTGCCACTTCGGCTGAGCAGGTTCTTTGCCCCGCCAGACCCCTCTAAGGTGGAGGCCTTTTTCTGAAGACTCAGTGCTACCCCTCATTAGTCCTCCTTTAGCAGGCGAACACGAGGGTGTTGACTTTGAGCTTTTCACAGGGGGGTCCCTGAGCCCAGGGAGAGTCCTGCTTAGCTGCTGCCTGGGGCGCTGGGCACACCATGCCCCCAGTGAAGGACAGCTGGGGTACAGTGGTGTGGGGCACCGCCCAGCTGTGTACTGGGCCAGCAAACCAGAGCGGGGCACAGACCAGAATCTAGCTCTCCTCTTCCTGGGGTGCAGGAGCGCATGCTGCGTAGCTCTCCCCCACCTGCCCACTTGGTGCCAGGCCTTCCCCAGGATGATTCTCCCTGTGGGCAAGATAGAAAGGTCGGGTGCCAGAGCCAGCAGCAGGGCCCCTCCACATGGGCCCTGCTGATCAAAGATGCCAACCTCGACCTCTGAACTCAACACTGTCCACCTTTGACCCCAGTCACAGAGCTTCAGGCGTACCAGCGCCCACCATGGCCTGCCCTCTTGTTCTTGCCTGGGTGTCTGACGCCCTCCAGTGGGCATCGTTGTTCCTTGTCGATCCCACGGTCACCTGAGCCACACCTCCCAGCCTGCAGCTTTGGAGGGCACCCCAAGCCCTGGAGTGGGGCTTGACATCTGAGCAGGACTTGTACCAGAGCTGAGACTTGCTAGGTGACTCAGGTTGTTAGTCCCGCACTGTTGCTAGGGGGCAGCAAGTCAGAGCCATCAGCAGGAGGGAGAGGGGTTCTTCCCTCTGCATCAGCAGTGACCTCTGTGCTACCCCGTGCCCACCATCCCTCCTGCAGCTCCCCAGAGGCTGCAGGGAGCCCAGGCTAGAGCCTTCAGGAGACTGGGGACACCCCGTAACCAAGCAGCAGGGTGGCCAGGGCTGTTTACTGCCTCCCCTACGCCTGCCTCCTCCTTACCCGGCTGCCACTGCCATTAGTCACTGGAGAAGTGAGCATTCCTGGTGACTCACGAGCGGTGAGGCCTAGGCACAGAGTTGCCCCCCCCCCCTTCCCAGCGCTCATCCACACTCCCGGCTCCTGAGATGACAGAGGTCAACGGAGACTGTCCTGACTTAGCTGCCCTCACCGCACTGGCACTAGCTGGGGTCTGGAGGCTTCCGAGGACAGTCAGGCCTGCCCCTTGAGGGCTGCCTTCCCAGGAACTGTCTCCACATCTCTGAGTAGAAAATGAGTCCCCCTCCTGGCAGCTGCTCAGAGGCAAGACTTGACGGGAGCAGATGCTTCCATTGGCCAAGAGGTGGACACTGAGGCAGAAATGGCCCCTGCCCCACTCTGTGGAGCTGCCAAGTCTCCCCAACTCCTGCACCCTGACCCAAATTCACATCCCTGTGTCCTCTGGACCCCACTGCTTGGCCACCCTGGAAGGGCTGTGAAAGTGAGCCGGGCCTCAGAGCTGCTCCCTTGGCTGCAGACCTTAGGCCGGGAACAGCACAGGCTGGGGTGGGAAGAAGTGGGGTGCTAGAAAGGTGTCACCGCTCCCTTTCTCTTCAGACTGGCTCTCAAGGCTCTGGCAGTCACTAACTGCCATGTCTCTCCTGGGGACAAAAACCCTGGGCTTCCCGTGTGGCTTAGAAGACACAGTGAAGCCCGAGGCACGCTGCCCGTCACTCAGCCAGCCCCTCGGGCCTGGGCTTGCCCGTGTTGTGTCCTGTAGCCACCCCAGAAGCACAGCACCCCTGCCCACACACTGCTGGCAGGGAAACCGGCACCTTGACCCCCAGCCTTTGCCCAAGCCCCTGCCAGCCTGCTGCCCCTCGTCTTGACCGGAGCCTTCTGTGCAGTGCAGTGGATACCCAGCTCTTCCCCCCAGGCAGCTCAGACGCAGTGAGGGTGGGAACAGGGCAGCAATGGGACACCCCCCTCAGGCAGTCAGTGCTGCTCAAGGGCCTGGGGGTGCTGGGCGTCCCCAGGATTGGCCCTTGCCAACAGGCCCTGCCTCCCACCAGGTGGTGTACTACTCAGAAATGCACAAGATCTTCGGAGACCTGACCCAGCAGCTTGACCAGCCGGGCCACTCAGACGAGCAGCGAGAGCGGGAGAACGAGGCCAAGCTGAGCGAGCTCCGAGCCCTCTCCATCGTGGCCGATGACTGAGCTCACTCCCCAGACTCCTGGTGCTGGCAGGTTGGGGCCCATGGTGGCCTCTACTGTGCCTTGCCAGCCCTTGACCTGAATGCCTTCACTGTCTGGAGCCTGACTCTAGGAGCCCCCAGCAGGCTACCTCTGCCTGCTCACAGCCCCAGATGTAAGTAAGCAGTGTAGAAAAACCCCAGGGGCCTTTTCACTTCCAGAACCATCCAGAGCGTAGCCTGGCCCAGGGCAGAGCAGACCTCAGCCCTTGGAGGCCTGTTTCCTTCGGCAGCACAGCTGAAGTAAACTCTGCTTACACGGCCGGGACCGCGTCTACCTCCAGAGGACCCATCCTGGGGAATCCACCCCTGTTGCTGCTCTTCACCTCAAAGGCATGGTTTGCTGCCCTGGGGAATGGGGAGGTTGTGCGGTCCCCTCACTGCAGCATGACATAGCTGCTCGCTCAGGTTCAGGCCAAGTGCAGGGACAAGCCCCGGGTCTTCAGGGAGCTGGGGCTACCCTGCCACACAGAATGGCACGTCACTGCACAGGTCTGAGCCGGCACAGAGGGTTTGCCACACCTGGATATGTATTTGGAATTTTATTTTTTCAAGTTAAGTTTCCAATAAAAGATCACCTAGTGTTGTGGTGTAACTTCCAGAGGTGGGAATGCTGTCGCAGCTTCTCCAGGGCCTGTGCCAGGCTTCCCGTGCCCTGCCTGCCTTCCAGAGGGCTGGGTGGGGCCAGTGGAGCTGCAGGGACACAGCCAGCACGGGACAGCACCAGGCAGCCCAGAAAAGGAACAGGAAGAGCTACACACTTGGTTTATTTTTGACTTTGGTTTATTTAAAAAACAAAAAGCCAAAAAAAAAAAAAAAAAAAAAAAAAACCAACTTTATATACAAAGTCAAACTGAAACCATGGATTATGGAAAGAGGCGGGAAATATGGGTAACAGGGAAAAGGCTGGGCCAGAGCCAATACCACATTCTGAACACAGGGCCAGGGAGGGTGCTGGTTTCTTCTGGCAAGTCTAGGGTGGCTGGAACACAGTGTTCTCCTGGCAACCGCAGCCCAACATGAGGGCCTCCTTCTAGCACAGTCTCCATTCCCACGACGGCCACAGAGCCCCCAGGAGCTGCACCTGGGCCTACAGGGTTTGTGCCGTCCAGAGAAAGGGGTTTCCTGGCCCCCTACAGACTCCATGTCTGTCCCTTCAGTTTATTGGCATCAGACCTTGTCATGGGCTTGAAAAGCCTTTTCCTCCCGTCTTACTCTTAAACTGGAAGAGGACAGGAGACAGCACAAGACTACAAGGGCCCTGGGAGAAATTCCAAGGTTGAGGGCAAAATGACATTCTAAGGGTGCAAAAGATGTTGTATTTAGTTGTAGCTGGAACTGGGGTTCTTCACACATCCATCCACATAGCACAGACCCTACCCTGATGGCTCAGCATCCCCTGCAGAGGCTGTGCACGGGGCTCAGCCACCCTGCCTGTGGCTCCCAGGCCCTGCTCCAGCTTCTTTCTGCTACCAAAAGGGCTCTGACATGTCCGGGCTCCATCGCTGACCTCAGCACGGTGCTCCAGCGAGGCTCCTCAGTTGCTAGGCGCTGGCTCCTCCTTGTCTACCCAGCTGTCCGCCTGTGTGAGCAGACAGGACCCAGGTTACAGGGGTGACCATCAGAGGATGCTGCCTCCTTCTACTGGCGCCTCGGCTGCGGCAGGCTGCCGACTGCCAGCTTACCTAAAAACCAATGGCTGAGGACAAAGAACCTGGCAGGGGAAGAAAGGGGCATGCGTGCTGGCTGTCACCTGAAAGCCACTCCTCAGTGGCAGTGAGTGCTCCCCAGGAAGGGCTGCATTGCTCTTGTCCCACTGCCCCTCACCTTCTCCACCATGCGCTGCACCTCAAGCTGCAGCGGGCCCAGGCGCCTGCGGAACTCCTGCAGCAGCCGATGCAGCTGGCCCTTCTGCCGCTCGGCCACCCGTGCTGCGTCCTCAGCCTCTGTCAGCCGCGCCCGCAGCTCCTGCATCTCCGAGGCCAGTGTCTTGTTTGTCACTTCAGTGGCTGAGAAACGGTTATGGCTCTCCTCTGTGTGGGGAGACACACACCAGAAAGCTCAGTCAAGGACAGGAGCCCAGATAAGGGCCGGGGCCTACCTTGCAGTAGACACACTGCATGCTGCACTGTCCCCCAGTGACAAGCCCTGCAGCGTCAGGCCACTCACCTAGCTTCAGTTCCAGTGTGTGAATCTTGTTCTCCAGGTAGAGCCGCCCACTGTCTTGCTGCTCTGCGCGCTGCAGCAGGCTCCCCACATTGATCAGGCTGCCGTTGTGGGGCACCAGACCCTTGTGCTCCGTGGGAGCAGCACCTGGCTTTGCGCTCTTCCCAGAAGGAGGCAGCAGGTCCAGATTTCCTAGAAGCACTGTGGAGTCAGGAGGCGTATCCGGGAGAAAGCAGCCTGCCCCGCCCCATCCCCACAGGCCATGAGCACAGACATACCAAACAGCACCTCCTCCGGAAGACTGCAGTCCACTGTCTCCGGGCGGCTGTACTGCAAGCTCCGGTACTGGCAAATGTTCTGAGTCACCACCCTGCTGACCAGCTGCTTGGCCTACAGAAAACACAGCCGCCACCTGCTGGTCAGGAGGGGCAAAGCCTGGCTGGGGAGGAGCAGGCCTATTCGAGTTAGGGAGGGGTCCCAGAGGGAAGACGGGGCAAGAGGGGAGCTACCTGCTCTGCACTGAGCCGGATGCCCAGTGTGAGGAGGACCCGCTCCAAGTCCCGCCGATGCAAGTAGCCACACCAGTTGGCATCAAAGAACACGAAAGCCAGAAGACAGTCCAAGGGGAGCACGGCAGAGGGGTCCAGCTCCTTGGGCTGTGAAGGAAACATGGACAGCTTTACAGATGGCGCTCAGCAGCTACCTGGTGCAGGACACAGCCCCTTTATAGCAAGCAGCTCAAGCAGCAGCATCTAGGAGGCCTCCAGCTGGAGGCACAGGTGGGGCCACAGGCCTCTGTGGGGGAGCCTGTCTGACCCCACTGTTTGACACACTGGGCAGAGACTGAAATGTTTTCTGTAAGCCAAGAACGCCTTTGTCTCTTGCCCATCGATGGAAGAAGTCTCTGGTAGGCATCCTGCTCCCTGGCAGGAGTCAGAGGCCTTGCCAAGCCTACCACCGCAAGGCCAAGAGGAGACATCTCACCATGTCCTGGAGGGAGGAGAATTCCATCTCCGACTGGTTTGAGGCAACAGACCGGACCTCCGAGTCCTCCAGCTTTGCTCCTGCTACAGAAAGCCTAAGCTAAATGCGGAGCAGGCCCCACAGGGACCCACGCTTGCTCTGCAGCCCCCAGAGGAAACCAGGAGGGCCAGACCCAGAGCCAGCCCAGGACCTGCGGCCCCCACCCTGGACGTACCGAACTCCTCCTCCCCATCGTCCCTCAGAAGCAGCAGCTCCGGGTCCAGGGCCATCTCACACAGCTCCTCGGACACCTCGGCCCGGGGCTTCTCCTCCTCCTCCCCACCAGAAGAGGGTGGTTTGGGCAAAAGCCCATCCTCTTTCTAAGGAAACAGACCAAGGTGATGAAGGCAAGGAGTGGAGTTCCATTCCTTGGACTGTTCCGCACAATCAATAATGGCTAACACTTGAGCAGCAGCTGTGTGCCAGGCACTGCGGCAGGGGCGTGGTGGGTTTATTTAAGCAGTGAGAGTCAGCCCACACCAAGGGCACTTGGAGATTATCTGAGTCTCTCCTTGGGAGGCAATCGCAGGCCCAGAAGAAACTGTCTCCTTGAAAATGTCCAGGCGAGAAGGTTCATGCTTTAGAAATGCCTGAACAATTGGTCCAGTCAGCTGCCAGGCAGTTCAAACACCTCCCCTCTTCCCAGCACTCTTACTGACAGGGATGTCTGTGCTACTAGGGCTTGGCGGCCACGCCCCCGTCCCCTGTGTGCCACCTCCCTTGCCCCAGGTGTGCCATTTCTGAGGTACACAGCCACATGCAGGAGATTGTCTCCCAGGCTTCAGTGCAGCCCAGCTTGGGAGAAGCAGGCAGTGTGAGGCCAGAAGCGGAAGACAGGATGTGGAACGTGTGCAGGACAGACAGTGCCTAGCACCGGTGGCGGGGGCTTAGAGGGTGTTAGGCACTACTACGTGGTCCTCAGGCCAGCCCCAGGCTGCCAGATACTCACCAGAGCGGCGTCTGACTCAGCAGCTGTGCCCTCATTCTGTACCTCATCCTTGGACTCCTTGGCCACCTCCTCTTTGATGGCTTCCTCCTCTTTAGCAGCTTCCTCCTTGGCCGCCTCCTCCTTCTCAGGTTCAGGGGGAGACAAGACCTTTTCAGGAAGGCTCAGCAGCATCTTATAAATCCTATAGCCAAAATCCCTCTGTAGCATCTCCAGAAACAGCTCGGCCAACACCATCACCTGTTGGAAGAGGCAGCAAGAGCCTATGAACATCAGGGCAAAGGAAGGAGGCTGCACCCCACTTCCTATCCACAGCCCCTCAAGGTTCCTCCACCTGCCTCAAAGGAGACCCGTTCTTTTGGCCTCCGATCCTCCACAATGGCATGGAGGGAGAGGTTGACACAGCCAGGACGTGCCATGACAGCAGGCTCTAGAGGGGGTGGCGGGGCCTCTGGGAGGTCAGTGTCCGTTTCCTGCTGTGTGGCGGCCTCAGGCGTCTCCGCATTCTGTTTAGAAGTATCTGCTGCTTGCTCCGACAACGCATCAGGGGCCTGTTCAGTAGGCTCTGCTTCCTGTGACAACAGCCAAGATGTGAGCCTCCGGTGCCGGTCAGGGCACCCGCTTTCCCTGTGTTGTCCTAAGGCTCAGCTTACCCCTGGTGCCTCCTGGGGTGGGGGAGCTGCCTCTGCAGCCTTCTGCTGGCACAGAGCATCCCACTCCTCCAAGGTGGGCATGATGGTCCAAATGTCTGGCAGGTACACCACCACCGTGTGCAGCCGCCGGGGCGGTCCCGGCTGCAGGTACTGAAACTCAGCAAAGCGCCACCTGTTCACAGTAAGGAGCAAAAGGAAGCTGTCAGCTGCGAGTCCTGCACGCACACAGCACACTGGGAGATAAGCACGTCCACTTCCAGTCGGCACTGAGTGAGCACATACTGCTCGCCAAGTGTGAAAGGTGCCAACACAGGTACAGACCACATCCTCAAGAAACTGGCAGGCAGCGGGAGGCACAGAAGCTGACAGCTCACTTACACAGTGCTAAGGCAACCTCACTCCGAAACCCCGAGCCTAGCCATGCTCAGGACCCAGCAATCTGAGCAGCCAGGGGCAGGGAGCAGGGCCAGCTGAGTGAGCACAGGAGAGTTGGCAGGCCAGAGGGCAGCGGCCAGGCTTCTGAACAGACGAGGCTGTAGTGAGCTGGCCACACACAGGAAGCCACTCACCACTTGGTGCAGGTGCTCAAGTCAATGCCAGTCTGGGCTTGGGCACAGCGGATGGCCGTGCGCACCAGCACCTGTGGGTCAGCCTGGGGATCGAGGCCATCCAGGGAAGGAGACCACTCCCCCCCAACCAGCACTGCCTCATCTTCTTTCCGGCCCAGCAAAAACTGCAAAGAGATTGAGGACGAAAGAAAGCCGAGTTGCCTGAGATCCCTACAGTGAGACGGGGCTACCACCCATCAAGACC